TTTATTATCCAAAGCGCTTCTCCAGAGACAGCAGGAAAAGAAACAGTTCAGGCTTTGGGGCAGCACATCCAGCAAAACAAGAGAGGAAAAATTATTTTAAAAAAGTAAAATAAGAGAGGCTTGGAACATAAAGAACTAAACACTGTCAGTACTTGCATAGCACTAGCAGTAATGGAGAAATACAGTAGATGGCTATAGAACTCTCAAAAGAAAAACTGCTCCAACAGCTCTACTAGCAAAGGAGGAGCCTTCTAAAAAAATAAATATAAGGAAGACTTTTTGGTACTTTTCCGTTTTATATCCACAATGTAACATCATCTGCTATAACAATCCCTGCCACTGCCCTTGAAGATCAAGGCCTGTGTCCTCAGGAAGGCTGCAGTAACTAGTCAGAGAGTCCTGTAACTGGATGCAAGTTTCAGTAACAGTCCGTGGTTCTAACCAGACTTGAAAAGAAGAATAGCGACTTGGCCGAGGTAGAAGTAGATGAAGTGCTTGGTCTCATGAGTCACATAGCTGCCAAAGTTCCTTCCCACGATGCAGTGCCAAGTGGGATTGTATTTCTTGTCAAACTCCTGCAAAAAAGATCGCTACAAATTAAGAATTCTTCTGACAGGTATTCACTTCCTGAGCACGGCAATCGAGGAAGAATAGCTGCTCTTAAGTACTGGGATTATCTTATTTACATCTTATTGTTCACCTGCTGCTTACTCAGACACACAAAACCCCACAGCTCTACTTATCTGAGCAATAGTAAGTTTAAAACATTACTTTTGTTCAGAGAAATTAGTTTTTCTCTCCCCATAGTTCATACCATGATCTGAATCTACAACCCTCAAGTAAAAGCTTCACTGCTAATTTTGTACCCACAAACACAAAGCCATAATTTAGACTTCATTGTGCTAAAGGGAAAATTCTCGTCCAGTAAGGTATAGCAATAGAACAGCTCGAGCTGGGTGCCTTCATAGAGGGACCCCAAACAAAGAAGTCCTCGGGCAATTACACTCTCCCAATCTCAGTTTCCCACCTTCCACAAAACAGTTAGGACCAATAATAATATTAGGGTCTGGGTTCTTTTCACTGTCTCTGGGCAGCCTGTTTCCTGTGTTTTCTGCTGACAGTTATAACTTCCTTATCTTCCAGCCTGACCCAGCTCTTGAGGCCTTCTTCCAGCGTTGGGTAAAAGTTCAACATATCTGTGTGAAAATTCACAGCTTGCAGACTAAGACTTGAGCAAATTTAGCTTCTAATGCCAAGCAGTTCACTCCAGAGAGTTTCAGTCCAACAGATCTTAACATTTTAACAATTCTTCCACTCAGATCAGTTTAACTTCTACTGACGCACTTTGATTTCTCCATTCCCCCGAGCTGACGAAGCAGGAAATATAATCTGAACTAGATCTTTCTCCTGTATTGTTAATCCTACATAAAGGACAACACAGATGTTGCAAACAACAGATAATCCACACCACCAGGATTTTTTTTGTAGTTTTCTTTTTTCCTTATATCACTAAAAAATAAGAGGTGAGATTATAGTAGATTTGCAGAAAACTACTTTTCCCTGCAATTTTTGACCTAGCTGGCAAGAACTGTAAACAGATCCTTAAGATTAAGTTCAATACAACTGAAACCACGGAAAACTGGCTTCCTCTCAGGAAAATCGTAGGAGAGCTCAATAGAGCCCCTGTGTTTTGTACCAGCTCATCAGTCACAGGGACAGTCAGCTGCCACTCTGCTCACGTGGACAATGGCACAGTGGCAGAAAAGGCCCAAGTAGAAAATACTGCAAGAGAAAAGCAGGACCTGGAAAGGTCCACGTACAGGGGTGGGGGGAAGGAACATATGGACACCAACCTACAGAAAAAGTTCAACTTGATTATCTAGAACTTGTTTCTCTAGAGCGACTTGCCCAGCAGCATTCTCCCTAATTGATTTTTCATGTGCATAGAGATTTCATGAGCACATTACACGCAAACATTTACCTTCTTTATGTGAGCAGCGATGTCCTTCTCGATGTTGTATTTCTCCAAGGCCTGAGTAGCACATTCCACAGCATCTTGCTGCATCTCCTCTGACATGTCCGCATTTTTGATCACTGCCTTCCGATCGCTCATGATTGCCTGCTTTGGGAGAAAAGGAGGAGAATTCAAAGTTGCAGGAGCACCTGCCAGAGTCACCTGTACCGTCACTCCCAGCGAGCTCCCGGGGCCGGGCAGCGCTTTGCCGGGTGTGTCGGGTACGGGCACAGCCCCGGGCACAGCCCGAGCAGCGGCGGCTGAAATGCCGGGTCCCGTTGAGCACCCGCTCTCCGGCCGGCCCCACACAAGCCCCGCCGCCCTCCCGGTCCTCCCCAGCCCCGCTCCAGCCCTTCCCCAGCCCAGCACGGCCGCTCCATCGCCCGGCCCCGACGGCCTTTCCCCGCCGACAGAGGCGACTGAAGCCCGGCCCCGCTGCCAAGGAAGGGTCCCGCCGGCAGCGCCGGGGATGCGGGAAAACCGGGGTCTGGGGAAGGGCCTGAGCACGGGGGAGCTGCTGGGGTGCTCAGGCACCGGGGCTGCCCAGCCCCAAGACTTCCCAGACTCGGTGCCCGAGCCGGACCCCGTCCCTCCCCAGCGCTCGAGACCGTCACGCCGCTCCGCTCACCGTCGGGTGTGCGCCGCGGGGCTGTAGCGGGGCGGGGCAGGAGCGGGCCCGGCGCGGTGAGCAGCGACACACGCACTCGGCTCCGCCGCCGCCGCTGTTTAACCGACCCGCGCGCGCCGCCCGCGCCTCAGAGCGCCCCCAGCCCCGCCCCCTCCGATCGGGCCGCCAGCCATTGGTCACCTCCGCCAGCACCCCGAGCGCTCATTGGCCGCAGTACGGCACTTTCGCAGGGTTTTGCCGCAGCAATTTCTTTCAGCCCGGCATGCCTTGCGGCCGCGCCTGGTTCCCATGGTGACGGGCGGTCGCGGTGCTGCGCGGAGGGCCTGGCTTTGGGTTAGGCCCGGCCTTGGGGCCGCCCCGGAGCCACACCGGGAAAGCACAGCCCAGGGCAGGCCAGGGCTGGTGGCTCTCAGGCCGTGCGCAGCTCTTCCCCATCGCCTTGTTTCTTTCTTCGCGGCCGAGCTGCCTGAAGGAAGGAGGGGAAGGAATAACCCTGAGCACCGGTACAGGTTGGGGGCCGACCGGCTGGAGAGCAGCGCTGCAGAGATGGACCTGGGGGTCCTGGTGGACAGCAGGCTGTCCCTGAGCCAGCAGTGTGCCCTGGGGGCCAAGAAGACCAACGGAAATCTGGGATGCATTGGGAAGAACGTTGCCAGCAGGTCAGGGAGCTCAGCCCTGGTGAGGCACATCTGGAGTGCTGTGTCCAATTCTGGGCTCCTCGGGACAGGAGAGACACGGGGCTCCTGGAGCAGGTCCAGTGGATGGCAACGAGGATGACTGAGGGACTGGAGCATCTCTCTTATGAGGAAGGGCTGAGGGAGCTGCGCCTGTTGAACCTTGGACAACCAAGAGGGGACTTCAGTAACGTGTGTAAATATCTAACGGGAGGTTCCAAGAGGATGGACCAGGCTCTGCTCAGTGGTGCCCAGATATAGGACAAGAGGAAATGGGCAGGAACTGATGCCCAGGAAGTTCCACCTGAACATGAAGAACTTTTTTACTGTGCAGTGACTGAGCACTGGAACAGGTTGCCCAGAGAGGGTGTGGAGTCTCCCTCAGTGGAGATATTCCAGGACCGTCTGGGCACAATCCTGTGCCATGTGCTCTGGGATCACCCTGCTTGAGCAGGGAGGTTGGGCCAGATGACCCACTGCGGTCCCTTCCAGCCTGACCCATTCTGTGGTTCTGTGAACGTGGCTGGACAGCAGCAGCTGTGACTGCAGCTTGAGAGGGGCTGTCCCAGCCATGGCTCTGGTAGGCAAAGATCACTTCTCCATATAGCTGAGAAAAACACCCAGCAAAACCAACCCCAAAAAACAGACATGATGCTTTGGAGGGCATCCTGCCACAAAGAGTGTAGAGTTAAAAAATATGAGATATAAAATCATGGTGGGGTTTGATGACAAAGCTAAAAGTCCCAATGTGGCAGGGAGGTCCTGGCAAGGGAGCCCAGCTCATGCCCAGGGAATGCAGTCTCTGGGCTGGTTTTAACTGTGTGATGTCATCTCTCCTGAGAATGGGTTAGGTGACTTCTTTGTATCTACAAAGCTGGCAGCATTCCTGGATGATTCAAATAAAGTGATAAGCAAGGCACGTCTTGGAAAAAGAAAAAAAAAAGGCAGAAAAGGTCCCTAATGTGTCCTAATGCTCCTGACAGGAATAGAGGCACCTTTCACTCCTCCCTGCTGCTCATCAGAACCCACAAACCCTCCCTCCTGCTCCCTATGAGGCTTTACTTTAACCTAGGATACTGAAAAATAAAAAATCTGAAGAAAAAATAAAGAGAGAAAAGTTAAAGGAAACTATTTGCAAAATTATTCAAGTAAGCCGTGAGGGCTGTGGTGGGTTTGGGGTTCACAGAACGTTGTTGGAATGGACCTTAAAGATCATCTAGTCCCACCTCCCCCTGCCATGGGCAGGGACACCTCCCACTAGACCAGGTTGCTCAAGGCCTGGCTTTGAACACTGCCAGGGATGGGGCAGCCACAACTTCTCTGGGCAACCTGTTCTGGCGTTTCCCCACCCTCACAGCAAAGAATGACTAACATCTAACTTAAATTCCCCCCCTTTCAGTTTGTACCCATTCCCCCTTGTCCTCCCACTGCCAGTTCCTGACCACGAGTTCCTCTCCGGCTTCCCTGGAAGCTCCTTCCCATACTGGAAGGTGCTCTGAGTACTCCAGCAACCTTCCCTTCTCCAGCCGCAACTTTGCTCAGTTTTCATTTGTTTGGGTTTTTTTTTTTTTCCCATCACATGTGCGCTCCCAGCGAACCACCCGGTGGCACGGAGCGGGGGGGTTCAGTGACGGCGCCGGGCACAACTCGCGTGCCCCAGCACATCGCCGATAGGAAGAGCCGGGCGCGGCGTTTCCCGGCTCCCGGAATGCCGGGATGCGGCGGTGCCGGTCCCGCCCCGGGGGCGGTGGAAGATGGCGGCGGTGCGGCTGTGCCGGTGCCGCTGCCGGGCGCTGCTCTCCCGTGTCCGCGAGGCCCCGCGGGCGCTCCGCGGTCTGGCCGCGGGGCCGGAGATGCACTTCGGCTTCCAGAGCGTCACGGAGGAGGAGAGGAGGGAGAAGAGTGAGGGCGGCGGCGGCGGCAGCGGGCGGGCTGGGCCCGGAGCCCAGCGGTGATGGGTCTCCGGGGTGCCGGGGTGTGTTTGGGGCTGCGCCGTTACCGGGAGCCTCCGTGAAGGGTATCCCTGTGAATACCCCTGTGAATAATATCACCTGCTCCGCGCTTCCCTCGGCTCGGGAAGGCTGCGTCTCCAAAGAGACCTTTGTCAGGCAACGGGCACAGCAGGATTCGATTTTTTAATTTTTTTTTTTTTGTGATGAGTTTTCAGATTGGTTTTTTTCACGTCCACGTGGTGACAGACCTCAACGAGGCAATAAAAGACACGGTTTACTTCGACATGAGCGTTTTGAGGTGAATTGTGTCTCATCTCATTCTCATGTCCTTTTTTTTTTGCAGTTTACCAGGTATTTGAAAGCGTGGCCAAGAAATACGGTGTAATGAACGATTCCATGACACAGTTTACTTCGACGTGAGCGTTTTTAAGTAAATTGCGTCTCATCTCGTTCTCATGTCCTTTCCTTGCAGTTTACCAGGTATTTGAAAGCGTGGCCAAGAAATACGATGTGATGAATGATTCCATGACTCTAGGAATTCATCGGGTGTGGAAGGATATCCTGGTACATAAAATGAACCCTTCCCCAGGAACACTTCTTCTTGATGTTGCTGGAGGAACAGGTAAATAATTTTGGTGAGTTCCACATGACAATGCCATGCTGGTTTTCAGCTGTTTGAGTGCTCAGAATTAAGTTGCCCAGCTTTTTTTTCTTCCTTCCATCAGTTCCTGTCTTTAAAACCAGTGAGGCATCTACTTGACTTTCCCAGAGAAGGGTTAAGAGTTAACTTCTTTGTGTTTTGTAATATCTTGCTCCAGGGGTCTGAAAGTGTTGTAGTACTGCCATGATATGTTGTGGAAAACTGTTTAAATTTGTAGAAAGTCACTAACTCTTTGCTTTCAATATATTCCCTTTATATTTATAAATATATACACACTCTCTGTGTATATACAATGTGTGTGTGGGTTGTTTTTATTAATATATATGACTCGAAATAAATATTAACTCAGTTTGATGTTCAAAGCCTTATGTTTCAATTTCCTGGAGTCAGAAAACATTCCGAAATGTGAATCTTTCTTTTAAACCAACTGCAGGTGACATTGCCTTTCGATTCATTAATTATGTTCGCGCTGTACGAGAACGGCAGCTCCAGAGGAAGCTCAAGCACCATCAGAATTTGTCATGGCAGGAGATTTTTGAGAGTTACCAGGAAGACAAATTTGACTCTCTAGGGGATTCCCAGGTGGTGGTCTGTGACATTAACAGAGAAATGTTTAAAGTTGGGAAGCAGAAAGCACAGCACCTTGGCTACTCTAAAGGTAGGTCATGCATTGTACTGTGTCAGCAGCATCCCTGATAGCAAGAATTTGATGCATCAGGTAATCACCACTTCAGGATTACACTTCAGGTGTACAGTGATTCTCTTGAATAATACTTGAACTTTCAGAACAAATATGGAAGTGTCTATTAGGTCTGATTCCCAGCTGTCCTTCAAAATTAAATAATCAAAACCTGCTGTTAACATCTGTGCTGACAAATCTGGTATTACTGAGCTGCAGAGCTCAGCCCTAGAATGACTAAAGATCTTATAATGTGTATTTTAGGAATCAAGGTAGCAAATAAAAAGTGCGAGAAGTAAAGGATATTGTGAACCTATAAAACTTCCCACAGTTAGAGCATATGCAAATAATGTTCAGAGAAACTGAATCATATTAAATATTAGTTTGTAGGTGAATGGATTAATTCACTGATGCTTATAATTTGTTGGGGACCAGGCCAATCCTGATTGAAAAGCCTGATTTTAAGAAATAAGGCATAGAGAAAGAAGTACTGCTTGTGGCTCAGTGTGCCACAATTCTGACTTCTTTCTCTCTTTTACTCCCTTGTTCAGCACATACCCAATTCATGTGTCCTACCTGAAGTGCCTGAAGTGAATTTTCAGGCAATTCTTCCCTGATGTAATAATCTCATTTTTGAGCTTGTCTCTGGATTGTCTGAGATCTAAAACTTGTTATTCTTAACATTGTAAGGGAGAGGCAGAGGTTGCTGATTGTACATTTTGTCTGCAGGAGAGGTGCCCCATCTCCTCTTGTTGGACACCAAGAGCTCCTTTTATGTATCTTACAAACTCCTGGCCTGTGATTTTACCACAGTGTATTCTGAGGGACTGTTACCTGTTGCTCAAGACCTTTTCTTGCTGCTCACTTCTTAGGTGTTTTTTCAAACTGTCCAGGTTTAAATAACACTAATAATTGCTGCTTTAATAATGTTGCATGCTTCTTTTCATACAATACTTACTACAACTATAAATATATATATTTTGTAAAACTGAAATTTTAACATCTCCTGGCAACAACCATTGTTTTCTGTTGTGTTTTGCTCTCCTGTTTTGCTTTCTAGCATAGTGCCCCTTGAAACTGTTGCAGAAGACTTCTGGTTTTTTTTTTCTGTTAGCTTTTTTGTTTTGCATTTGAGCTTCCAAAACAAGTGACTTTAAGAGCTATTAGTTCTAAATTAAGGAGTCTTATTTTTGGTACCAGTAACCTGGACATCCATGCTCCACTGATAGACATGGTATTGATTCCTTAGGGGCTGGAAATGAATACAGCTGCAACGGGATCACACAGTGATGGTGCTGGTGAAGGGAGTTTGGCTTTTCATGTTCCTCAGTCTCTAGAGGCTTTCTAGCAAAACGTGTTGAGTGTTTTGGCCATTGTTGTGTGGCAAGACATTAATATTTGTTTATAGTTACTCTTAAAGCAGAGATTGTCTTTTTACAATTTTGCTGCAAACAAATGGCAGCCAACAATGCTTTCCACTAGGATGCAAGTTTTGGGTAAATTTTTTTTTTTGGCACGCTAAGGCACTGTGAGCACAAAATGTATGTGTGTATATATATATGTATATGTATGTACATACAGAACAATGTTTTGGCTGATCTGCAAAATTAACTACTCAGTCTTGAAACACAGTGAGTGGTATAGTACAGGGCCTTGAAAGGTTCCTGAGTATAGGCCAAGGTGTCTTTCCTCCAACAAAAATGCAAAGTGGAAACATTTGTTTTAAATATCACCTTTAAAAGAATCAATTTTTTCTAGGATAGGTAAGTTCTAGTCTTTCTGGAGCAGTCTTGAGTTCAGTTCTGTGACTTGTCTTTCACTACAGGCTTGTCCTGGGTGCTTGGGAATGCTGAAGAGTTGCCCTTTGATGATGATATGTTTGATGTTTACACAATTGCCTTTGGAATCCGAAATGTAACTCGAATTGATTTGGTAAGTTGCTGTAGTGTGTCCTGACATGGGGTCCTTATCATTCATCTGAGGGGTTTTTATTCAGCAGAGGAAGAAAAGGAGGAACTCCTTTGTATAAAGGAAGATCATAGTCTGCTCCTAAAACATTTAAAAGAAGTGGCATGTGGTGTGCAACTTGTTTGAATGGAGAATGCAATTAAATGCCCCACCTTTGCCATAAAAAGATAGATTTACACCAGTTGCACCCAATCCTTCCAGCTTGACAAGCCACACGATCTCTTCCTAAGGCAAAGGGGCTGGATGCTGCAGTCGTTCCCCACCTTCTCCTGACCTGTGGCATGGCTGGATCTGCACAGTGCAGTCAGTCTGCATGTCTCAAATCTTCTGAAGCACCTGATCTACATCCCACCCACCGTGGGTCCAACAATTCCTGTTCTCTTCTGTTTCCCTGCCTGAGCCAGCAGAGCTTCCAGAGCAGGGTGGGAAGCAGCTGGCTGCTGCCCCCACTGCTGTTAGCTAACCTGTTCTGCCCACTTCTGCTCGGGGTCTTTACACTGGCTGGTGGTAGAGCTTCCTGTGAAGAACAAGTATGATCTTATTTAGAATAAGTAGTGCCCTTTGTTCTAGACAATGTCTGTTCTTTGAGGAGGACAAGCTGTCGTGGGGGTAAAGATAGGTTAGATCAGCTGTCTAGGTGGACTAGTTGTGTGTGTTTTGGAGCAGTGTGTTACAACCTTGGCAAAGCTTCTTCTGTGGTGGGTGTAACCACCTTGGACCATATGCCTCAGAAGTTAATGTGGATGGATTTTCCTGGTACTTTGTCTGCACCTTTCCAAAGCACAGGCTCTTTGCCTTCATGGATACAGGAGTCTGGTGGCAGAGTTCCCTGGAGACCTGATACAAAACACCCAAGCTGCCAATTCTTTTGCAGAGCTCCTGTCTTGTATGTGTACTGTTTGTGTCCCCCTCCTTAGAAACAGGACAGTTGAAGCCAAGCAACCTGCAGAGCTGCTGGAATACAACTCTGCTGTGCTCTTGCATGAAAGAATATACAGTTGTAAAGAAAATTTTTTCTTGATTCTTCTTAGGTATTTTGTTTTGGATATAGGATGGAATTTTCAAAGTAGCCAAAGATTTTTTTCTTCCTTCTCCTTCCTTCCTGTTCTTACACATTGCTCATCCGAAACCCAGTATCATTCCTTCTTTGATCTTTTGGGTGTGCCTCAGTAAAATCTTTTCTTTCAATTTAAAAAAAAAATCTATCATGCCCTTTTTTCTTTTTCGGTTTCTTGTAGGTGAGTCACCTTCTCCCTTTTGGGTTTGGTCTGTAATTACAAGAGCTCTGCCAACAAACATTCATCAGCTGGGAGTAGGGAAAAAGAAAAATTGGCAACCCAACATCAAGTTTTGACACAAAGCCTTGTAGAAATCTATTTATGTAACATCAAGAGTGTTTGTGCTTTGTGTTTGTTGTAGGTTTGGGTTTGGGGTTTTTTTACTTGTCTTGGGATGCTGCTCCACATTAAATATTACAGATTGCCAGTCAGGGTACTCTTGACTTCCCTCAGTTCATCTGAGTTGCATGATAATATCACATGCCATGATAATAGGCAGGTGCTGTTCTACAGAAACAAACTTATCACATCTGCTTTGTCTCAGGCTCTTGAAGAGGCCTATCGTGTGCTGAAACCAGGAGGAAGATTTCTCTGCCTTGAATTTAGTCATGTCAGCAACCCTCTTCTTTCCAGGTAAGAACATGGTGGCACTTTATGCCACGTCACAAGGCTCTCTTATTTGTGCTCAGCCACAATAAGAGATGGAGACACTTTGAGGCCTCTTCTTTGTGCACTTTTAAAATCAGATACAGACTGCACAGCATAGTGGTACAGAGACCAGCTTGTATTGGAGAGGGTTGGTTTTTAAACTTCTTTGTATTCATTTGCATTTGTTGTCTGTGTGTGCAGGCTCTATGATCTCTACAGTTTCCAAGTTATCCCTGTTCTGGGTGAGGTCATTGCTGGTGACTGGAAGTCTTACCAGTATCTGGTGGAGAGCATCCGGCGGTTCCCCCCTCAGGTGAGACGGGATTTCCCTGAACTCACTAACACACAAAACATGATCCCAGCACAGCCTTGCAGCCACTGGCTCATAGGCCTTCGAGTTGTTAAAATTATGGCACTTCTTTTTCAGGAGGAGCTGAAGGCCATGATAGAAGACGCAGGTTTTTTCAAAGTGGATTATGAGAATTTAAACTTTGGCATTGTCGCCATTCACTCAGGTTTCAAACTGTGAGTCTACTATGTAGCAAAACACAGGAGGTGGTGTAATTTTTATGAAGAATGTGAAAGCTGTGGAATTTTAACAGTATGAGGATTGAAGAGGAGTGTTTAAGAACTTGTGCAGCAGATACTGGCTCAGCAGCCAGACCCAGAACACCAGCTACCTTTTTTCCTTCAAGAAACATGTGGAAGGAGCGACTCCTGTGGCATTTCTTACACTTGGATTTCCCTTCAAGTGCAATGTAAAGGACACAGTCAAAACTGAGCAGTGCTAACAAGTGAAGCAGCATCAGTTGCCAGTGGGTGTTGGACACAGAAATAGGCTGACTAGTCTTCCAATAAGATGCCTTTTTTACTAAGCTTCAAGGAGGATATACCCATGAGAACTTGGATTTATGAAGTAACTGGATTTTTATGAAGCTGTTATTATCTCTGTCATGTGGAGTTTAAGAATGTTTTCCCATGACTCCTTTACTTCTTTCAAAAGCAAATGAAAGGCTTGTGAAATAAAAGGGCTCTGCATCAACTCTTTTCCACTTAAATCAATCTTTTGTAAGAAGGTTGCCTAAGAAATTATGGATTTGGGGGGTGGGTGGGAATAGGGGTGGGGATGTTCATCCTTCATTCACGCTGCAATAAAGAGGGTAATGCAAGAGGGCAAAGGGTAAAGAAAACTCTTAAAGGATAAACTAGTTCCAACAGTTTTATTAGCAAAGAAGCAATCTTTTGAAAGAAAATAAATACAAGGAAGACGTTTTTGCTTTTTTATATAGCCACAATGAAAATACCAGCTGCTACAGCAAAATCCCTGACCATTAACAATACAACAAAAGACCTGGAGATCAAGGCCTGTTTCCCCAGGAAGGCTGAAGGTGGGAGTCACTGTGCAGATCCTGTACCCAGGTGCAAGTTTCAGTAACAGTCCGTGGTTTTAACCAGACTTGAAAAGAAGAATAGCGACTTGGCCGAGGTAGAAGTAGATGAAGTGCTTGGTCTCATGAGTCACGTAGCTGCCAAAGTTCCTTCCCACGATGCAGTGCCACGTGGGATTGTATTTCTTGTCAAATTCCTACGGAAGAGAGAACTAGAAAGTCAGCATTTTTGTGGTAATTATACTAATATTGTCTAACAGGTTTTCTGGGTGGTTTTTTTTTGCAATGATATGTCACTTGTTAACAAGTATCACTTTTGGAAGGAGGCAATTAAAGAGCAGCATATGCTCCTAAGCGCAAGGATCATCTGTCACTTTATAACTCATCTGCTGCTTAGTCATACCAAAAAAAAAAGTGCTTCCAAGCAGAGCAGGAATAAGCTTAAAACATATGTTTGGTGAAGTAACTTTTAACCCAAAGTCACGCCATGATCTCAAACCATAACTTCTAAGAGCGTCACTGCTTGTTCTGAACCTCAGATTAAACCAGTATTTTGATTTCATTAGCTGTTAACAGTAAGGATGCTGAAGGGACACTTGCTGGGAAATTCTCTGCCACATCCTTGATATCTGGTCATGAGACCATATTCTTCTAACAGTCTGCCATCAGGAGCCTGCTACAACTTACAAATAAACTCCTGTGTACAGGTGTACTGTGAGTAATCCCATGCAGTCAGTGGTTATATATAGTGCAGTATCTAACAGCCATCAGCTGAAGAGGTTTTTCTGAGAACATGGAAGAGGTTCCTGTTCTGCTCAAACAAACCCTTCAACTACTTGCAGCTCAGTCAGGCTCCCAGTAGGAGTCAAGAGAGAAAATGTGACAAACTGTAAGCTATGAACCATCTGTTTGGCACTTGTATGAACAGCTTGTCTTACATGTAGGGGGAAAGGGCAAAAAACAAAACCACTTATTACACGATTGGCAAACCACCCCTCCTCAAACAGGCTCCATATAGAGCCTGTGTTTTGTACCAGCTCATCAGTCACAGGGACAGTCAGCTGCCAATCTACCCACCTGGACAATGGGACAGTGGCAGAAAAGGCATAAGGCACTACCATAGTAAAGCAGAAGGACCTAAAAAGGTCCACATAAAGGGTGGAGAAAGGAACATAAAGAGAGAAAGTCCAACTTGATTATCTAGTGTGTCTAGAGCTTGTTTCTCTAGAGCTACTTGCCCAGCAACATTCTCCCTGATTGATTTTTCATGAGCACGTTACAAGCCAACATTTACCTTCTTTATGTGAGCAGCGATGTCCTTCTCGATGTTGTATTTCTCCAAGGCCTGAGTAGCACATTCCACCGAGTCCTGCTGCATCTCCTCTGACATGTCCGCATTTTTGATCACTGCCTTCCGATCGCTCATGATTGCCTGCTTTGGGAGAAAAGGAGAAGAATTCGAAGTTGCAGGAGCACCTGCCAGAGTCACCTGTACCGTCACTCCCAGCGAGCTCCCGGGGCCGGGCAGCGCTTTGCCGGGTGTGTCGGGCACGGGCACAGCCCGAGCAGCGGCGGCTGAAATGCCGGGTCCCGTTGAGCACCCGCTCTCCGGCCGGCCCCACACAAGCCCCGCCGCTCTCCCGGCCCTCCCCAGCCCCGCTCCAGCCCTTCCCCAGCCCAGCACGGCCGCTCCATCGCCCGGCCCCGACGGCCTTTCCCCGCCGACGGAGGCGACTCAATCCCGGCCCCGCTGCCAAGGGCTCGGAGCCCCGCACGGCTGCAAGGCAAGTGTCCCGCCGGCAGAGCCGGGGGTCCGCGGAAAGCGGAGGCGGCGAATGGGGAAGAGCCCGGGCACAGGGGAGCCGCCGGTGTACCGGGGTGGCCGAGTATCCCCGGGGACCCCGCAGCCCGTCGCTCACCGTTGGGCGCTGCGGGGCCGGCGCGGTGCGGAGCGAACGGCGCTGCGCTCTGGGCCGTGCGCGCCTCGAAGCGCCCCGGCCCCGCCCCCTCCGCGCCCATTGGCCGGCCGTTGGTCACCGCCGCCGGCCCCCGAGCGCCCATTGGTCACCGCCGCCGGCCCCCGAGCGTCCATTGGCCGCGGCGCGGCGCCCGGCAGGGCTTTACCCCGGCGTTGTCTTGCGGCCCGGGATGCCCCGCGCCGCGTCCGTTCCCATGGCGACCGCAGGGGTGGGGGGGAGCAGGAGCACCCCCGCACTGCCGGTGCCCGCTGGGGTGGGCGTGTGGATTTGGGCTCTGTACGGAAAGGCTCCGGTCCTGCCTCCTGTGCTACCCGTCTGCTGCGCTACGGCACGTTGAGGTTGGACGTTTCTTCACAGAAAGCGTGATTAAACACTGGAACGGGCTGCACAGGGAGGTGGAGGAGTCGCCGTCCCTGGAGGTGTTCAAGGAAAGACTGGACGCGGCACTGAGCGCCCTGGTCTAGTTGACACGGTGGTGTTGGGTCACAGGTTGGCCTCGATGATCTCAGAGGTCTTTTCCAACCTCATTTTTTCTATGATTCTGTCTGGCGTCATCTGGTGATTCTCTGCAAAAAACTTGTTGCTTGAAGTACCCTCAGCCTGCAAGGAATTGTAATGTGTCCACCAGCTTCAGTAAAGCACCTTTCCTTAGTTGATATGTGCACCCCAAAAGCCATTTTATTACTTGCCCCTACCTGGATCACAGAGGCACTGAGTTTAACCCAGTAATCTCTGCAACAGACTTTGTTTCTCTTTTGAAACAAGCTCTTGTTGGGAATAGGTCTTTCAGTAATATGGGATATTACTGAAATAATACTGGGATATTATCTGGGATAGCTTTTTCAGTAATATGCCCTTTACTGAGAGCAAAGCCCACCCCTGTCAAAGGAAGGAGTTCCATAGCTTGTAAATGGTACTTGATCATCTGTCCTGTTCTGACCATGTCCTGATCATGTGTCTGTTTTCAGGTCTTTTCAATTCAGACTAAATGACCTCTGAGAGAAATCTCTTACCCATGTTTACTGACTATGGTCAAGTCACCTCCAAACTTTGTTCATGCACTGAACTGAACCTATCAGACTTCTCAAGTCTCTTTTATGGCATCTTTTGCAGACCTCACCATTTCTTGAAACTCTTGCCACATTTTGTTTGTTTGTGTTTGGTTTGGGTTTTGTTTTGCTTGGTTGGTTTTGGGGTTTTTTTTATTTGTTTGTTTAAATGAAGCAAGATGTTTTGGGAGATCCTGGGTGCTCTGTTTAGTTAGTTTCACTCTCCCTGGGGCACTTTCTGCTTATGCTCTTGTCAGCAGATAAAACATCGCTGTTGAGTCTTCCAGAGCTGGTGATCTGTTAATAACAGGAACCACGTCCATAGCAAACAGCACAGGATGACTTAGAAGAGGTTTTCAAATACTGGTTGGTAGGACTCCCATTTCCTTGTACCCTCAAGAGCAGTCATCCACCTCACCTGAAATGCAAATATTTTTTCATATTAGTACAGTATAGTTGCCTGCTCAGTGTCATTCACAGCAAAAGCAGCATAACTGCAAGCAACCCTTTGCTTTTGCAAGCTCTGAGACAACCTCAGAAAAATATACCACCCCCAAAAATATTGAAACTGGATGATGTAACACTTTTGTCACTCCAGAGTATCTCAGGAATAACTTCTGGGTCCCAGGTTTTAGCATTCCAAATAGGAGAGATGCAATTCACAGCTTTGCTTGTGTGCTAGCAACGTGAAAAAGCTCTGAATGGTCTTGGGGCCACAGCAAGTAATTAATTTACAGAACAGACTTTAGTAACTGCAGCACTAGCAGTGGTTGTTTGAGTACTGGACAATTTTGTGCTGACAGAACTGAACCATTTAACAGTCTTCCCAGTGCTTACACTAAACTTCAGAAACACCCATGAATCTCTGAGGAGGCGCCTGTGTTTGGTAGCTGCAGGCAAATTTCTGTGCATTTATTAAGAAATGGTTGGCTGAGGAAACAGATGTGATGACGACTGCAGGAAATGTCAGTGTGGGTGAGACACAGTCGTTAATGGGGAACATTAAAGCCCAAGATACGGGGCTTTAAAGAGAGACATTAGAGCCCTACTTGTTAATCAAGAATATAAAAGTATAGTTTCCCCCAGGGCAGAGCTGCAGGGGAAGGCAGAACAAATGCACACAGGAGATGATAGCTGGGGTAGAGGAGGTGCTGAAGGAAACTGGATAAGGCATATCATGAGATTCCTCTTGCAGATGGAGGTTAGATTGTGAGCACTTTGCAGGAGAGGTATTTTTTTGCTCTTTATTGCACTCCATACTGCTGTATTAATAGAGATTTTTTCCAGGGCTTCCAGTTACTATCAAAATATAGAATAATCATTATTAGCAATAAAACAACTACCATCTTCTTTCTGTAAAACTGAAGAAGTCTCCACATTGACATTTTCTTTGTAAACCTGGAATTCACATGCAAGGGCTTCTAATCCAATTTTATATCTACAGATTTACAGGGGTGGAAAAATCTTGGCAGGTCTGAGTCAAGTTCTCTCTGTGGTCTCCAGAGGAAACATGTACTCCACTTGCAGGTTGGGGCCCTGCAGTGAAAGCAGGTGAACCAGCACACGATGGGTGCCTTGCCTCCCCCTCAGGGTGCAACCCAGTGGGGTCAGCAGCATCCTGGGGGGCTC